CAATAAGCGCTTACCGGATAAATTGTTGCATATGATACCGTTTTAATATGCTACAATCTTATTTGGTAAAATAGATTATAGTGTTGACTCCAACCGGTAAGCGCTTACCGAGTCCTATTATCTTACCGGATTAATATGGTAAGAACCAAAAATCTTACCCGATTAGAGCGAGACAGGGACCAAGAGTTTTCCCCGGTAAGTGAGTGCGACGACTTTTACCACGATTAGCGCTTACTGGGTAAATTGTTGCATACAATGTTGTTTTAGTAGACTAAAATCTTATCAGATTAGTAAGTGATAGCGTTGAATTTTATCAGTAAGTTCTTATTGAATAAGTGTTTAATAAACGACGATTAAGTAATATTTCTAATATGCAGAGTTTTAATATATTTTATTAATCAATTTAATAAACCTAATATTTGAAACAAGTGTTTGTTTTTTGTTCATATAATTAATTAACTATTGAAAATAACTAAATTAAGTAAATCATTACATGTTTAATATTATTAAAAGAGTATTCGTACAATATAGCGAGATATATCTAAATTTTAATGTTTCGTTTTATTATTTGTATTTGTCAATATAATACAGTTTTATGTGATTTTGAGAAAACGATAATGTTTTTATTTTTGAATAAAATATAAATTTGAAAAAAAATATTTATATTAGTATCAAATTAACTATTTAAAAGTTCTTTTTTTTGTATAATTTCTTTTTTGTATAATTTCTTTCATTCAATTTTTTCGTTTAATTTAATTTAGATTTAATAATGAAGTAATTTATTCATTGTTTAATAATATATTTTTTTATAAAGACTGGAAAGATATTCGCGCGATGTAGCAAAATACATATCGATCTTAATGTTTATTATCTCCATCGATGTCAGAATACGATTTTTTGTGGTTTTAAGAAAGCGATAATGTTTTTATTTGTTAATAAAATATAAATTTGAAAATTTTACATAATAAAATTGTTGGTTAATAATATATTTTTTTAATAATGAAGCAATTTATTTTTGGTATAATAATATTATTTTTTATAAAGATAATAATTAAGTATTATGTTAAAATT